AAATTTCAGCGCTGTGCGACAATTTCAATTTTTTTGGACTTTTTGAAAAATTCCGCGCGACGTGTTCAGGCCAATAAGTCATTAAGTAATTAACAAAAAAAAATCCGCTGGGGCATTATGAGAGGAATAAATGGGCTGCCGATTGTCGAAAACTGTCACCAAATATTTGGCCCTGTTTAGAAATTACAGTGAATGCAAGAAAGGGGTAGTTTTCGATGCAATTTACAACTTTCTAGCACATTAGGCAAGTTCGTGCTCGCTTAATTTTCAAGCGTAAAAATTCGAACAAAAAAGCATTGGAGAGTGCATTTCATTAGCAATAATGTTGTGTGTGAACAATCAAAATCGAATCACGCATTCGGCCGCTGCTGCACCAAATGCGCGCAAACAGGCGAAACGTTCATTCAGTGACCTTGAACAAAAACATGGTACTATTCAAGACGCTGCAGAAAAAAACTATAGACGATAAAGGGGTGCAGTCGCGGAGTTATGTATAGCAAAAAACTTCAGCTACAACAATCATTTGAAACTTTTTCCTATTGGACCATCCCTTTGAGCAGCGTTCTCCATAAACCGCAAATTACCCCTAAAAAACACCCCTAACTAAAAACCCTATGGAAGTACAAGGTCGCAAACTTAATATGTTATTTAGCACAGGAAAATGGACCGATCCCCCCTAAAAAATGTTAACTTCTAATTATGTTGAGGTAAATTTCCTTCATTGCTTGACCTATTTGTTGAATGCTCTGTGGATTTTTTTGTGTCCAGAGGTGTGAGTGTTGTGATAATTTAAAATTCCATTTCTTGTAAAACAATACTCCATCAGTAGATAGAATAGATTGTACAAAATTCGGATGTCATCGATTTGTTGAAGAAACCATTCACAAAAATGAACTCTGCCTAGAAAATCTCCCGGAGAAAATGCCTGTACACGCTGTACTACGGGCAAAACAATTTTTTTCTGAGGGTGCGATGAACTGTTGAGTGCTTTTTATAGATTCCTCAGCAAAAAAAAAAAAACTTGCTGGGCAATGGATTGACTTGAGTGCTTATTCCACTATCGCTAGAATCTGTTCTTCATCGGCAGGTGTCATTTGTCTTGCAGATCCCCGATTAAAATTTTGAACGCTGACACTTATCGTGTCAGTCAATCTTTGCAAAACGGACACAAAAGTTCTTTCGTTAGTCTTCCGTGAACAAGTTACATAATATATGCATGTTCGACGTATGCAAACATTTTATTTTAAATAAATCATGAATTACGCGCGTTTTCAGTACTTCAAGTAACTGATAAGAATTGAGAATCAATTGGTTCAACTACCTGAACAACCTATTCTTTTTTGTGGTATGTTGCCAGATGTTTAGAAACGGAATTGTAACATTGTAATTTTGTTTTTTTAATTCTTAATTATTGTTTCTGACTATAAATACATAATTAATTAATTAATGAATTAAATATGAATATTTTTTTCAGATCTCATGATGATTAGAATTTTCATTATCTTTCAAATTTCAAATATTCGTCGAAAAATGTCAAAAATTTTAAGGCCTTTTTCTCTCTTTCTTCTATTTTTTCTTTTGGGAAAATGAAAATTCGAATAAACTGCAATTTTTTGTTTTTCTTCCATGTAAAGAATTTTTTTTTCTGTTGTTGGCACTTCTCATCATAGAAATGAGAAATAACTCAAAGAAAGATAGGTGATCAGGGTTCCATTTTTTTTTTTGGTTTGCTTTCTCACCTTTTCATATATGGAGGAAAATAATGGGTTATTACAATTTACAGTTAAGGACGAGGTTAAGGATCACGTTGCGCACCGCAAAACAATATCTAACTTTAAAGCAACTTTCAAAGCAACAAGTTTTTGTTTTTTGGTTATATGGGAAAGAGCACAATTCGGAAGTACATCTATATTGTATTGTATTGGGCATAAAATATTGCGAAAAAGTGAAAAAAAAAAAAAAAAATGGGGGCTATGGCGGTCAAGTTGTTTCGATTTTTTTTTTGGTATATGAAGAGGAGAAGAGCACAATTCGCAATTATACCGGCACAATTGAGTACAAAAGAGCAAAATTGAATGAACCAAAAGTATTGCAAAAATGCTGGCGGTCAACTTGGCCATAGGATTGGTTTTAAATTTTTTTTGGTACGGAAAAGAGCACAATTCGCTCTTACACGGGCACAATTGTGCAGGATTGAATGAGACAAAAATATTGCAAAAAAGTTCAAAAAATAGGGGTCTGGCGGTTAAGTTGGCCCCCGGATTTTTCAATGTTTTTTGGTACATGGAGAACAGCACAAATTGAATTTACACAGGCACAATTGAAAACAAAACGAGCACAATTTAATGATCCAAAAATATTGCAAAAAAGTCCAAAAAATAGGGGATTACTTTCAATATTTTTTGGTATATGGAGAAAAGCACAATTCTCAATCATACCAGCACACTCGCCAGCACAATTGAGCACAATTGAATGAGCCGAGCCAAAAACATTGCAAAAAAAGTCAAAAAAACTGGAGGCTGGTGGTCAAGCTGGTCAGGGGGTTTGTTTAATTTTTTTTTTTGGTGTATTGTAAAGAGCACAATTCGCATTAGGACCGGCAAAATTGACTGCAATTAAAACAGTAGAAAACCGAATGTGGGGGTGCTAACTTGACCCAGATTTTTGTGGGATAGGGTATACCTACATTTTAATGCAGTCGACGATATACATAATTTGTGATGTACTTTATAATTCCTGTTTTCCTAGTTTTTTGTTCTTCAAAATTATTGCATCCCAAACATTGCGTTAATTATAAAACAGTTTAGTTTGCAAGTCACAATCGCAAAATGACATCATTGATGGTCTGCTCTATGAAATAATAATAAACATTGAGATATACTTGGTATGAGCCATGAACATACTAAACAATAATTATCTTTGTCGCCACCGATTAAACCATCTGTTTTTTTTTTAAATAATATATGCCTATACCTACAGAGTGATTTAAATAAAAATAGCCATTAGATTTTTTGAGGAACTTATTTCTAGAATAAATAATCTAAGATTTCTTCTAGAAGAAATGTTTTATTTTCTTGTGGTTTTGAAAGTATTTGTACATATATTATTTTCACCAAATATTTACAATTTACACAATAAATTTAATATAAGATAATAATGATTTCGCATCAAAACTTTAAGCTGAATCATGGGCTGCATTTGGCAAGAAAAAAAGTTAATTATGTATGTATTGATTTATATAAATATATTGGTCCACTGAAACTCTCTTTAATAACAACAAAAACTTTTCTTAAAATTAAATAAAATTATCTAATCACCAACCGCTTGTACTTAACTTTATACAACAATTCTCTTCTTTAAATTTAATGGCTGACTTACAAACTACGCGCTTTATAAGCAAAACCATTCAATCGAGAAATTTCTAGAATCATGAAAGCTCACAAACCACGCGGTTCATAATATACAAAAATCAATCACCCCCAGAAATCTATCTATAATTCTTGTTTATTGAAATAACAAAATGGAAGCAAATTTATGAATATTGGCGTACCGGTATCCACAGTGGCCTCGGCGTTTTCGCACAATGTAATTTCGTAACACTTCCTCCCTCTCAAATCATGTGTTAAGTTTTCAGTATTTCAAGATGCAGCTTTGCGGTCATGTTGGATTCGAAACACCACATCGTTGAGTTTTTTTTTTATAATCGTGTGTTGGCCTTCAAGTAGGCCTTCCTATACTGCAGTTAGCTAAGGGAATCTACATTTCTTCCTTTGAGGATAATAAAGAGACCGACCTAGACAAACCACTAACTTACTAGACGACACATTGGATCCACTACATGGAACCTATTCCAGAACATCTATGAAACTAGAAAAGCCACAAACCTAGAGACCATAAGATAAGATAAGATGGAACATGGAGCATTCATCAAGACCGACTATGTAGATGAATCATTGCCAGAACACCAACGAAACTAGATAAACTACTGGCTTAAAACGGAGGAAATGACAGCACCACAACGGCCTAGTCAAGACTAGAACCATCTAGACCCAGGGAATCGCCAACGGAAGTAAGCAAGAACAGAGAACTACACAGGGAGCAAACTTCAGGCACAATATCAAGTACTTCAAACCAGGGACAACTGGACGCGCACAGGAAACCAACCACAAGAAGAAGACAAGCAAGGAAGAATCAGCGAAGAAAGAAGAAGACGCTTAATGAAGAAAGAGAATTTAGTTTCAAGTTTTCTTAGCAAGAAACGTTTCCTCGGGCATTGTGGGGCCAATGCTTTCGTCAGGGGGGCATGAGTCAACTCGAATTCAGTACATTGGAATCATTGGATCAGGGGCTACATAGTTCAATTGAAACTAGGCAAGAAAGCATATGCACGCCAAATGTCCAAATTATATTTCAATTTGGAAGCAGCTGCAACACTATGGCAAAGCAGTCGTCTCTCGCTTCTTTTCTGTATCAGTAGGTGCAAGATACGCGGACACGCCTCAAGTGTGGATTTATCTGATCTTATTGTGATTGCGAATTATATCTCTGTCCGAGCAGATATCTCCAAACGACCCAGACTTCGAACTACAATAGAGACTTTATTATAGCTTCTATTCTAGTGCGGAGATGGTTTACAACTCATTTGAGTCATTTCGCCGGGACCTAATGAGCAGACATTTAGGCATAGAATAGGAGATAATCATACTCTGTATCGAGTGATCGCCTATGATGATGATGAATGAGCAGTAGTCAATCCTAAGGGACGTACTGGCAAAATAATCGTACCTACCTATTTGGTAAATCGGTACTTTAGTAACTAACATTCTACTTTAAATTGATATACATATTTATTTGAAACTGTTTTGGCGTTCCCTGTTACCTTTCTTCTATATTATCTTCAGGGCGGTTAGTTAAGTTACAATACCGCCAAAAAGCCCCGTGATAATTTTACTGCATTTTACCTTACTCCAATCTCTAACCTAGTTTTGTTTTTGTTGCAGGGAGGCTCACATGGTAGCCTTCTTAATAATGTTTGGACCTTGCCGGCTTCTTATCTATTTATTAGTTTCAAGTAAGTAAAATAGATATCCACTTTTAAATTCCTAATTAAAATAATTTACTTTGTTTTAGCTTTTTTTGTTAATGGCCAGTATATAAATTCCAGGCAGCAAAGAGTTAGGAATTATCCAGTTAAAGGTTAGAAAATTGTTTTTATTTTTTTCCTTTTAATGTATTTTTTTAATGAAACGAAGTAGCGTCCTAATAGTATAAACTGTCTTGATAAATGATAGCGGGAATAAAAGGACGATATGTTATCAGTCAAACCTCTATATTAAGCGAAGTTTCCGTTTCGATAACGATTGTTATATTTTTCAAGCCCTTAACAAAACATGATGGTAGATCCAGCCTATCAGACACAATTAATTGTACCATCTGGAGCGAGTAAATTTTTTCTCTTTCCTTTATTCTAAAAAAACACAACAATACAGAAGATACAACATGATACATAAAACTCAATTATTTAATTACTCCTACACAAGGCGGGAGCCCTTTTTTATTTCATTTGAAAATGAAGGAATTGTCGCTTGTAATTATTTTATTCCCGCTATCATTTACCAAGACAATTAAATTTTTTGTTGATCTGGATATTGAGTAGTGAATATTTTGAATTTTGCGAGGATAACGACATTATTTAGACCACGCAAAATATTTATGAATGTTATGGAATCTGCCAAATAGGTACCTGATAGTTTCATCTATGTTTGTTAATTTTATTTTATGATTTTAAAAAATGTATTTCATAATAGCACCAATAAATATCGTGCAAAGAGGAGATCAGTCACCAGAGCCAGACATCAATCCAGATCTATATCCGGAGGTCCTTCACCCTTTAGCCAAATTACATAAACAGGGTAGCAATCAATTAAGTGGTCAGTTGTTTACCCCAGTGGCGTTTTTAGGTGTTGGTCTATTTTTCATCTTTTACATACCTATTCGTTTACAAGAAGTATACAGTGTGGCCCGAATTTAAGTCTGGAATCTTGAAGTCGAATTGTTAAAAAAAAAAAAAGGAAAATTTGTGCTTATTCGAAATTCGTTGCCAAAATAGATGAAAATTTTGAGTTCTAAGAAATTAAAAAAAAAAAACTAATGTCACAGGTTTGTTAAAAAGTATATCGCTTAACTGTGATTAAGATTATGTTAATAATTATACGAGTATTTAACTTTTTTGACCAACACAAATACCTAATAAATATAATTTTGGTATAGTAGGTATGAATGAATGATTGCATGAATTAGGGGTATTGTTACACTCCGACCTGCATACATCTATATTGTGCTCCCTTCTGGGTGCTTCTTCAGTTGATAGGATACTTACTCGAAGCACCTCATCCAGCTTTAAAGCTTTTATGAACGCAAGTAAGCTGGATGGTCCTACGGATAGAATGTCTTCCCGTCCAACGGCGCAGCATCCGAAACAAGCAATTCGTTTATTCACGATCGCCTCGAACCCCGTGAGAAGGTGTTCTGGAGTTTCCCTCCCTTCCTCTAAGAAGCGGCAGCTGTCTTGGTTTTCGATTCTAATTCTCTCAACGTGCCCTCTTAACCGACAGTTGCCTGTAAGGAATCCCGTGAGAATGCGAAGATTGCTTTTACTCAGTGATATAAGGTCTTTTGATCTCCCTTGATAAGGGGGCCCAAGAAACATTCTTGATTCCCTTAACCCTGGAAGCTGTTCCCAGAGGCTGATTCATTTGGTCCGCTCTTCCTTTCTGAACGCTTCCTTATAGGTGTGTGTCCCGATGCCGCAGAAAGGCTCTGGTCCTGAAAGCGGAGTTTGTGCTCCCAATTTAGCCGATTGGTCCGCCTTCTTATTACCTGCGATCCCTGCGTGTCCCGGTTTCCACTGGAGGGATAGTTTGTTATATTTTCCAGTTTGTTGAACTTGTCCAGGCATTCCCAAACCATTCTGGAGCTGATTATTGGTGAGCTCAGCGCTTTGATGGCTGCTTGACTGTCTGAGAATATAACAATCTCTGTCTTTTTGTAGTTTCTGTCAAGATTGATCTCAGTACATCTACTAATAGCGTTTATTTCCGCCTGAAATATATCTGGGTGTTTTCGCATTACTTCCAGGCCCAATTACTTCGGCTCCGTTCCCTTGACCCATCCGTATACCATTTTACGGCTTTCAGCTGCATTGTAAGAACGGTGCGGTGTTTCCTTTCCATTCTTCTCTGCTTCTTATGACTACTGTGAAGCGTTTCTCAACATTATATGTTTTGATCATATCATTCTGGGGAGCTCGAGGAATGGAATAAGCATGCTTAGAGATGCTAATTCTCTCCTTCCAAGCCAATCCCAAACAATTGTCTCGATGGCTGCTGTAGGACAAGTTATCATTGCATGTGCACGCCAGGCGCTGTGTTTTTTGAGAGCTGCCTTTATATTCTGCTTCTCAACTTCTTTGAACCAGACTATCGATCCATATAGTAGGATTGGTATTACTCTCATAGTGTAGATCCATCTCAAGATCCCTGGTTTGCATATTTAGGTTTTGCCTGCGAGGTTTCGGCACACCTTGGTTACAACTAACTCAATCTGTTTGCTCCAACTGAGTTTGCAGTCCAGCGTTATGCCGATATATTTGACTTCCGTCATCGGTGTAATAATAGTCCGGTGGTCAAAGGCACTACGGTGGTTTTTGATGGGCTTATCTCCAGTCCCACTGTTCCGCACCATTCCTCCGTTGCCTCGAGTCCAGTTTCTAAGAGTTCACACAGGGTGCCCTCGAACTTTCCTCTTGCTATGATGACAATGTCATCGGCATACCCATCCTGCTTGCCTGCCTTTGGAATGAAAGTGACTCTTGCCCTTCTCCATATTTTAGGTATATGTCCCATCGCCATACTGCTTCTGGCTATATCTACAAGGTGCGGCATGATCTCTGTTTTTCCTTTTTGTAGGGGTGCTGGAAAGATCTCGTCTACTCCTGGAGATTTGAGAGGTTCGAATGTATTTAATGCCCTTTCAAGCCGCTTATTAGTGAGAACCGTTTTTGCTCTTTCCCAGTCCTCCGTAGTGGGCCGTCTGGGGTTCGCTCTTTCCTCACTTCTGTTTGTTGGAAGGGTTTGCTCAGAAGAAGGAGCGCACGCTCCCCTGCTCCTTCCGTGTACCGTCTGGCTTTTTCAGAGCCATTGTCGAACTTGTTCCCTCTTTGGCCATTGCCTTGTGCAGTCTAGCGGCGACTGAAGTCGAGGTGATGTTTTCACAGATAGACCTAAAGTTGTTTCTTCTTGCTTCCCTGATTTTTTTGTTATACTTTGTGGGAGCCTCTGTGTAACCCTGCCACTCTCCGGTCCTCCTTGCTGTGTTGAATGAACACCGAGCTTGGGTCTGGAGGCGTGCCAGGTTTGCATTCCACCATTGAGACTCATTCGAGCAGCTTTTCGAATCCGTTGGGCAGCTAGAGTCAAATGCCTCTATAACTACCTGGTTGACGCGCTCTACTTTCTCTTCCAGTTCTAGGTGATGACCTATTTTTCCCGGGTTGATTACTTTGAGATTATCTTCCAGATTGGCTCTGTAAATTTCCCAATTTGCTCTCATAGGGTTTCTCTTGATTCTTGCTTTGGAGGTGCTTACTTCTATGCTGAACTCTTTAATTCTGTGATTAGACAGGGAGGGTTCAGCCGAGATCCTCCAGTTTTTCACGTAGTTCGTTATTTCAGAACTACCAAATGTTATATCTAGTACTTCCTCTCTTGCCCTTGTTACAAATGTGGGTGTATTCCCTTTATTGTAAATGTCAAAGTTCATTTCAAGTAAGAATTCAAAAAGGTACTCACCCCTCGTGTTGGTGTTTGAGCTCCCCCAGAAGTGGCATATTTTTCCCCCTACAGTGGGGCGCTAGCTCCTGCAGTTCCGCCGGTGGTTTGCGTGGTCCATCCCCAGCGAAGTATGCGGCGGCTATCACAATATTCCATTGTCTGCCCAAGTGTTGGAAATTCACCATGATTGGTACTAGGTCCCTTGCAATGACGTATAACCACATATAGACAGAGTATCCTATTCATTAAATACTATTTGTTGTATTGACAACATGTTTATAGGTCAGGGAGGGTTTGGGGGCGGGCGGTACATGGTGGGCTTACGTAGTCCGATCTCAGTCCCGCCTCCCTGAGCATGTGAATAAGCCAAGCACACCACTGACTGAACTGCCAGAATTGGACCAGACTCACTCCAAAACCAAAGAAATGACATTCGAAATGTATTCCAGACTAACACGAACATATCCTATGTTTTGTTCTTTTTTTAACATATACTAATCATCATCGCATAAGATAAAGACAATAAGATACTTTGAGCAAGAACGGAACGTATTACTCTATGACAAGCAGGAGGCGGAGTTTAGTCTAGTGATGGGTTGCCAAGTGTAATTAAAAGCCAGGACTCGCAGGACTTCATACCCGCGTTAGAAAAACAATATGAATATTCCTACGAATCACTAAATATGGCATTTTAGTAGTGGGGGAGTTTGGTCAGGATGGAAAGAATCAGACATGTTGTCATCATATATTTTTGTTTATAACTCCATCTATCTGTGGTTGTAGGTCATGAGTCCCTTGTCATATATTCTGAAACACAAGTATAATTAATATGTCTCTTAATTACTATGCAGGCTCTGGGCGTTTCGTGCCTAGCGTCCCATATTATCTTTGAGTTTTTGGTGGTCAGTCCTTCTACCTGCCCCCTGTATACCCACGGTTCTAGGATCAGCGCAAGATCCACAAGTCCTTGCCCAACCAACCTCGCAATCACAGCCGAGGATCCTCTGGCGTGATGGAGGTTGACCTGGGCTATACCCTGGTTGCTGTCTTGTCAATTAGTTATCTAGGACCGAAGCGAGGTGGCGTTGCCCTCACCCTGCGATGTCTGTCTCGTCCCTCAGTAATTCGTCCTCTTCCTCTGTAGGAAGTTCCTTCTCTGAGCTCCCAGCCTATCGCAGGGAGATTCTAAAATCACGATTCGACACACGACTCGACAACAAGACGCAACTCGATACCGGCCCTGTCGTCTCGAAAGGTATGATTCCAATGAAATTCCAACCTAGGATCGTCGGAAAAAATCGACTTGTTGTCGAGTCGTGTGTCAAATCTTGATTTTAGAGTACCCGTCCTGGTGTTACCTGGATT